TACTCAGTAAGAAGTGGCAAGTGCCTTGAGAGAGACAAAGATGAAGGGCTACAGAAAAAGGCAGAAGGAGATTATATCCAGATTGCAAGGGGAGTTGTTTTGAAGGCAGGCTGCATGGAATATATAACATTTGTATTGGCCTAATAAGCGAGTTTGAACAGTTAACGGGGTTGACAAAGGAAAATCCAAGTGACTAATGGCTGTGAGCAAATGTGCCGAAGTGCTAATGTGTAAAGCATTTACTAGTAACAGCTAAACACTTTACATTTAGGGGCATAGTTAAGAAAAGTGGGAGGGGCTTATTGGGTAGCGCCAGATCACTGAGGCCTGGAAAATAAGCTGGAATTTATTCCTTAAAATAGGTTTGTGAACATCTGGTTAATATTTTTAGAGGAGCATAGATTTAGAGAAACTAATCTGGCTATGGTTTGTAGGATACATTTTGGAAGCAGAAGAATCTAGAGGCAAGAGAATCCCTTTAACAAATGATTAGACTTAAGGACTAAAATTGGATAGTGACCATGACAACAGAGATAAGAGTTAAAAATACTAAAGAAAAAAATAAGTAGAAAGTACTTGGGAAAGGATTGAATGAGCCGGAAAAAAGAAAAGTGCCGAATGGTAATTTCATCATTTTATATTAAGAATTGGAAGGAAACAGAAGACATTGAAAGATAAGCAGATGTGGAAGGGGTAGAAAATTCTCAGTTCTGTGTTATACACACAGAGCAACATCACAGGATTTTTTTTTAAAGTAAACATCTAGTGAGTAATTAGAAAAGCATAATTCATACAGGGGGAAAAAATGAGCAAACACAGATTAGGAATCAGCCTCACAGAGGTGACAGTTAAAGGCATATGACAAATCATCTCACACAGGTAAAGAGCATAAAAAGAGAAAAGAGACCACTAAGAGACCTTTGAGGGGACTATATTTTGGACAAGACATTATTAAATGCATATATTCACAAAACAGTATCATAATGGTATATTGTACTCTTGTGATAGACGTAAAGCTAAGAACTTGTTAATTCTTACAGAAGTCTGATAGCCAGCAAGGGAAAGGGAGAGGAAAGTGATATCAATAAAAATCATAAGATGAACAGTCAAATTAGTAGAAGGAAAAACCTCTATAGAACAATGTAATGGAAGCTAGAGGTGAAGAGAATTTCAAGCAGGAAGGCTGATGAATTGTGTTAAATGCTTTTAGAGCAAGAAGAAGGGAAAGCTATTGGAGTTAATAATCAATGGGGACATTTCAGAAAGAAATTATTGTAGAGGTAGGAGCAGGATTCAGCTACTAGTTAGAAGGTCAAAAGGAGTTGAGGGACTATGTAGGAAGTGTCCTTTTGATAAGGTTACCAGTGAAGGGAATAGAAAATATATGTCCCTAGTTTGAATGAATAGTTGAGATGGACCGAAGAGGTGTTTTGGTTTAGGATAGAGCTTAATTGAACAGGTTTGTAAGCTCAAGGGCACAATCTAGAAATCAAAGGCATAAAGCATAAATGTAAGAGTCAATAGCAAATAGCTGCAAGCGTAGTCATGAGAAAGCATACTGAGGGCACAGTGTGAATGCCAGCCTGCAGTGAGAGGAAAGGGCATAAAGCATAAATGTAAGAGTCAATAGCAAATAGCTGCAAGCGTAGTCATGAGAAAGCAGACTGAGGGCACAGTGTGAATGCCAGCCTGCAGTGAGAGGAAAAGAGATAGGCTTTCCTGTGAGACCAAAAGGAAGGACAGGCCATGAGGAAGACATATGAACATACTGAGCTAGAGATTGAGGGAGTTTAGATTTGGCAACTGAGGGAGGTTAGACCTCATGCATTGCCTTAATTCCCAGATTCTTGAAAAGAGTTCAAAACTTTTGAAAAGATTCAGTTAAAAATAAGACAGATAAACAAATAGACATAGATAAAAGGATTGTTAGCAGTTGACAACTAAGCACAGAATCAGTTACATGGACTTGTGGTACAACAATTGGCCTCATCTTGTTTCTTTTCCAGTGATCCTCTTGGTCTTAGTAGCAGAAGTGGATGAAGTGAAGGGTGAGATTACCCAGGCACCAAGATCTACAAAAAGAGAACGGGAATTGCAGAAAAGCAAGAACAGGGAAACAAGGGTGCTAAGCTCGTTTTTCATTGACATGGCAGAACCTTGGAGAAGGATGGGAGGAGGAAAGAAAAAATTCCTGAAGGGGCTTATTAATGTGAAAACATGGATTAACTACGGAGCCATAATCACTGATGAAGGATGAAAAGTGACTTTCTATAGAAATAAGAGGGGTTACAGAATAGGAAGTTGTATTCAGAGAGGCAGATTTCAGAGTCAACATGTTCAACATGAAGTAGTTCCAAATGATTTTGAAACCCAAAATGAGGGTATGTATATGGGAGCCAAAATTAAGTGAAGGACACTCAAGGCTTTTGTTTGAATCATTTACATCACTAACAGTAACAACAACAATAACAAAGATAAATTACCTAACCTTATTAGCTCTTTATTATGTGCTAGGTACTGTGCTAAGCGCCTTACTTCTATTAACTCAATCCTCTTCACCTACTTACTATGTGGTAGGTAGTGTTCACAGTCATTGTGCTGATTATCACCGCCCCTCCACCTGCCGTTGACTGAATTGGTTGATTGGTTTGACACTGTATAGACATAACCTTGAAAAGCAAATAATCTCAGCTAATTCAACTATATCAAAGTTTTTCATTTTCTAGACATTCTGAACACTTGAGTTGCACACAGGCATAGGTAAATAGCGAATTAGGGATATGACAGAGCAGTTAACATAGAACAGAACATGTTGTATAACATTGGCTATGGCTACAGGTATTAAATATTATAAGGCATAGTCTCTAGACTGTTTGAGAGAGCTAATATTGCAAACAAAAATTCTCTTTGAGCATGTCTTCAGAAAATTCAGAATTTTTTTTGAGGAATTGTAATTGTATTTTATTATTTTTGTTACTTTTCAAGCATAAGTGAAAGTTGAGTCACTCTTATGGTTAAATGTAGTTTATTTTTAGCCATTTAGTATACATTTATCATATATTTATAGGAATGACGACCACTTGTAATGTGAAATTTAATACATGTATTTAAATTAAAACATGTTAGTACTTTATCAGTAAGTAGATAAGTAGATAGGCACTCTGAACTGATCATTAAAAATGCATCACTTAACAATCTTAAGCATTTGGTTGCATTATTATGGGATAATTGCAGCAATTTTTATTTCTAATTTTATTAAATACACTCTCCAACACTGTAATACCTTATATAGTTATTGCCATAGAGTTCCAAAACCCCCATCAGGTGAGGGTCGTGGCTACTCCATAATTACCATCTGTTTAGCTTTGTTAGAGTTTCTCTTTAGAATTCAGAAGGTCAATGATACTGTTCATGATTGGAACTCAGCAAGACTAGAAGTAATATAATAGCTCTGAGACTAAACAAGACTCTGCTGCTCCAACTGATGGACAGTTAATTACCTGAGCATAAAACAGTGAGAGCCCTGGGAGAAATACAGAACTTTGCAATATGGTAGATTTCCAAGTACAATATTATTTAACGGTTTTTCAATGAACTACACTGTTTAATTAGAAGACATGAGCATAACCTTTGGCTGAAGATATAATTTTGAATAAAGCAAAACATTTGGTTTTTTTAACAATTTCACATACTACTAAGATGAGCAGTCCAAATCTGTTACTAGATTAGTGTTTGTCATCTTCGGCAGTATATTAGAATCACCTGGGAACTTTGTACAATACCAAAGTTGGGCCCCATCTCAGGCCAATTAAATCTGAATTTGAGGAGGGTGTTACCTGAGCATGAATATTTTTTTTAAAGGTGCCCCAGATGCTGCTAATGTGCTATGAAGGTTGGAAATCCAATAACATTAATGCTATTACCAGTAACATTAAAAAATCACGTTTGTCAGTATGGATATATTTATGAAAAACTAGAATTTTCTTTTTCATCTTTAATTCATACTGCTTATACAGAAAGACTTGTGTAGCTCAAACATTAATCATTGTCTTTAATTAATCTTTTAAAATTAATTAATACTTAATCTGTTAAAAATATAATCATCTAACTTCTTAGTTTCTATAGAGAAATTTCAGAGGTAAGAACAAAAACGCATTTATTCCTAGAAAAAAGTTTTAGAATCCGTACCAAATGTCCTTCTATATCTCTGAATAGCATAATGGACTTAATGTTTATAAAAATATAATCATCTAACTTCTTAGTTTCTATAGAGAAATTTCAGAGGTAAGAACAAAAAGGCATTTATTCCTAGAAAAAAGTTTTAGAATCCGTACCAAATGTCCTTCTATATCTCTGAATAGCATAATGGACTTAATGTTTATCCATAGGGCTAGATGAGTAATTCTATCCTTTTAATTAAGTAAAGGGAAGAATAAACAATCATATGTAAAGCTCTTACATTAAAAAAAAATTCATAACTATCATTAGATACTTATTTCCTGTAAATATTTTATAGCAATTACTTATTTTCATATTTAAATATGCTATAGATCATTTCATGGAGAAACCTTGTCCACTGGTTCCTAAAGTTCACATTAAAATGATTTTTGATTATGTGTTCAAAGATCACAACTGGTAGTTTCATGACCAGTTAATCTCTTTGAGGACAGTGTGAAGGACAGTAACCTCTCTTCACAATGTTTTCAGAAGGAATATAGAAGCCCCAGTCACAAATGGACAGTGTTCTTCTATGTGTCTATCCGATTACTTATAAGAAAAACATAGACTATTTTAAATTGAGTTTTCCAGAAAATGGGAAATAAAATGCTATTTATTAATTTTAAAACCTCTTACACCTTGGATTTCTGTTTCCAGTTTGACATTTTTAAGTACTATTTTTTTATATTTAAAACGTCTCAAAAATATTTGTAACAGTCTCATTAAACTCCACACATTGTTTTCAAAAGATATCTTTTCTTTTTGTTTTTTTTTTCAACTAGGACCCCTACTATGGCTGGTGGCCTATTTTCTATTGACAGAAACTACTTTGAAGAGATAGGAACTTACGATGCAGGAATGGATATCTGGGGTGGAGAAAATCTTGAAATGTCTTTTAGGGTAATTGTATTTTACTTTATTTTTTGAAGCTAAACATACTATGCTGTAGCATGCAAATGTTAGACCCAGTAAATTACTGTCAAATCTTTTTGGCTAAGTGATGCAAATTACTGATCAGTTGGTCATTTTAATACCTATTTAGAGAATTTGCTAGAGTCCTGTTGCATGCAATATTTACTGTTAAATGGGAAATTATAGGTATTTTTTAAGTTTTCAAAAATAATTCTTTTATTCACAGTAAAAAGACATTAGGGCTTTCCGTTGTTGAAATAAAGAAGAGGTTTATTTTTTAAATAAAGTGTTACTCTATAAAATCACTTTGTGTTTTTTAACTGAAACTTAGAAATATTTGGTGATCTGAATTTGCAATTGCTGCTTAAGGTTATTCTCAAATAACTTAACGAAAATTTGTGGTCAGAAAATTCTGGATAATTCTGCAAGTAACAAGACTATTTTCACAATCCTAGACATTATTGTTTGATGAGTCAGATTGAATAATGCAAATTCATTTAATAAATGGCCTTTCAAGTAAATAAAAATTGAAGATAAAGTCTTTGTAAATATATTAGGAAGCATATAAATTATTTTAATATTTGGTTATTTTCAAAAATTTTCAATACAGACACATAAATGTGCCTTCATGTTAAGAAACAGATAAACTATAACATACTGTGTTTTCTCTACAAACATATATTATTATTTTTTAAATGAATTAAAGTAATATTTATCTATGAAGTTCAAGTTATGCCTTTTAATTTCTCATTTAGAAAGTAAAATTTGTTTTTCACTAACATAAATATGTGTGATGTAATATAAGAAAATGTTAAAATGTGAGAATGAGTTATGATGTTTTTTTACAATGTAGAATTTAGTGAATCTTTAATATATCTGAATTACTTTAGAAGCACAAGAATGGCCCTGTTGTACTTTTTTTGTTTGTTTGCTTGTTTGTTTTTGCCTAGAACTTCCTTATAGTCATATGTCTTAGACAACCATTAGTTAATGGAATTTCATTACTTCCACATTTGTTTATGTACTTATAGCCTGATGGAACATGCCAAACAAAACCCAGCACTGTACTCAGGAATGGCTTCTTGTCAACTTGTCATCAGGCTCATGGTACATCTTTGCAGAACCTTTGAGGACACTGAGGACTCAAACTTGTTACTTGGTATAGTTCTCAAAGAAAAAGAAAGAAAGGGAAGGAAGGAAGGAAGGAAGGAAGGAAGGAAGGAAGGAGGGAGGGAGGGAGGGAGGGAGGCAGGCAGAGAGAGAGAGAAAGAAGGAAGGAAGGAAAGAAGGACGGAGAAAGAAGGAAGGAGGAAATGAAAGAGGAAAAAAGAAAGGAAATCACTATATTCAAAAGTTTAAAGACAATTCGCTTTTACCCTTAGATATAATGATGAGATTATTTACACATTTATTAACCAATACTCTTTGAGTTCTATCCTGGGATTAATAAGGAAACAAAAAATCAAAATAGCAATATTGCTGTTATCTATAATCCTATTACCTACCTTTTTTTTTTTTCTTTCCTAAAAGTCTTATTCACCTCTTTTCTCCCCTTGTTAAGCTTGATTCTCTGCCAATGTACTCCCATTACTTTTATCACTTAGCTCCCAGATTGGAGAGATGGTCTTCATCCAACTGATTAAAAGATGTGTTAGGGAAGAATTTAGTGAAATAATATTATAGACAAGGGGGACTTCATCAGGAAATGCAACAGAAGTATGAATGTATAAAAAAGGAAGATTTGAGAATATGATAGGGAAACAGAAGGAATGCAGCTAGTGGCCATGAGAATGTCAGACCCTAGAAAATAACGCAGGAGGTTTTCTGTAATTGGTTGTTTGTAATTATTAAAAAATAAAATATTCACGAGTGACTGTTTTTCAAACGTTTGAAAACATATTATTGTCTATAGTTTTTATATACTTTCAATAGAAACAAAATATGTATTTGTTTTTTTATTAGACTCTTAATTCATGTTTTACTTTCTTATCCATGACATGAATATGTTTTCTTAATAGTTTTGACCATAGCTGAGGAAGATAAGAGAAAATGCTAGAATAGTGCACTAGCAAAAGGTTGAGATCCCCCCACCTCTCTTTAGATTAATTTCACAACTTAATGAAATGAGAATATGTTTGGGATTTATAATCAGAAGACTTGAATCTCATATCCAGTTCAATCATTACATATCAAACGTATATTGAGCATGTGGTATATGCTTTACTCTTTCCAGTTGCTGAGGCTACAGAGATGAATAAGGCCTGATACCTCTGTACTCTCAAAGAACCCCGCTCCTATGAAAGACATACATAGGTGTTGTTGACAGGACAATATGACCATTTCTTTTATAGATTTGTATATGAGATTTTCTTGTCTCTGTCATGTGAGTGTAGGCAACTTCAACTGTGGAAAGGTAGTTATAATAATTGTGAAGTTACTGTGGTTTTGTAGTGTGCTCTATGTAGGTCCTTGTGTAAATAAAAAAGAAAGAAATATTTAGTCCTTGAAAAATACTGTGTTAGGATTCTGGTTGGCATTAAGGAAAGTTAAGCTGAAACAAAGGACTGCACTGCCAAGATTTATTTACAACAGTATCACTTGATCTTTGATGCTCAAGGAAGTGTAGATACTTACAGACATTTGAAAATTTGATGAAAGCTATGGACTTTCCAAGAAAGATGCTCTCAGCCTCTTAAACAGTATAGATTTGAATACAGTTTCAAAGGGGTGAAGAACTCCTTGAAGCCTCAAGTAAAAATCTTTGGCACATAATAATAGTGGCTTCTAATATTTACAGTAACTAGTAAGTGGAATAGCTGAGAGTTGACCCAGCATCTGAGACCAGGGGCTATGCTGTTAACTACATATTACTCCCGCCTCATTAAAGTCCATTTTTCCATAACAGAACAGACATGACTGTTAATGACATTATCAAGAGAGAGGGAGAAACTAACATGCAAATACAATCTTCCTCCACGATTCTGAAATGGTTGTTTCATCTATGATCTTATCTTCCTCTTATAGGCTATCTCCTCTTATGGCAGATAATATATATTCAAAAACCAGTGAGAATATCTACAGGTAGATCCTAATGCTTGTGAATCTCAGTTTCAGATATTCCTCCTTACTCCGTTGCACAACAAGCACTGAAATAACATAAATCCTAAAAACACTGTCTAAACATAAATGTTACTTTATTTGACCAACATTTACTGAGTCCAATAGGCGTTGGGGATCCAGTAGTGAACAGGGAAGACAAAACTTTGTGTTCTTATGGAGTTTATATTTTAGAGAAGGAGATAGACAATAAACAAGATAAGTAAAATTTATTAATATATTAGTGATAAGTGTTAAAGAGACAAAAATAAAGAAGAGAAGAGGAATATGAAATGTTAGATGTTGGAGGACAAAATATATGAAATAACGCTTTCAAGATGTTGGAGAGCAGATCATGAAGGCCAATGGCCCCTGAGAAATGGGAAACAAACAAGGAAAGCCCTACAATTGCCTCAGCTTACTGCCTTGTGAAAGTTTCTAGGCCTCAACTGTCACTGGCTGGAACCCAGGCAGATCCTGGTACACTCCACAAGTTGAAAAGATGAAGCTGAGTGTCTGGGCAGCAAGCGTTTGGCAAAGATAGTTCTGGAGATAAGAGAGATGCGCAGACAGAGAACTTAAGAGATATGCAGTGGTTCCTATCTGAATATTCAGCTGAGTGCTGATCAGCACATATGTATGAAGAAACAATTCAAATTTCAGGAAAGGACCATCATAAAAGATTAGAGGTCTCATTGCTGAGTGATCACTCAGGAAAATTAATAGTAACTGTATCTTCCAGATGGATTGATTCATGTGGCATGGAAGAGAGTAAATATTCGGAAACTACATATCACATTTCAGAATAACCCAGTGTCAAAGAAGCAGTGACAAGTGAAATTAACAATATTTTGAACTGAATAAAAATGAAAACATAGACTATCAAAGTTTGTAGTGACCCTAAAGCAATACTTAGGGGTTATTTATTTATAGCATGTTAGTAAAGAAGAAAACAAGAAAGTTCTAAAATCAAGTACTTCAGCTTCCACCTTTAGAAACCAGAAAAAAAGAGAGAGTAATCCCAAAGTATCTAAGAAAAAATATCAAAGCATAAATGAATGAAATATAAAAGAGGAAAATGTTAGAGAAAAACAATGAAACCAAAATCTGTTTCCTTAAAAAGATAGATAAAACAGATAAATTTCTACTCAACTTAACAGGAAAAATAGAGAGATGACACAAATGACCAATGCTGGGAATGAGAAAAGTGATATCATTATGGATTCTGCAGATATTTAAAGGACTGTAAAGGAATGTATGAACAACAATATTCAAATAAACTTGACTACTTAGATAAAATGGACAATTTCCTTAAAAAAAAAACAAACTAACAAAGCTTACAGGAAGAAATAGATCAACCATATAGCCCAATATCTAGTAAAGAAATGAAATTTGTAGTTTAAAAAATACTTTTCACAGAGGAAACTTCATGGCCTGAAGACTTCACTGGTGAATTCTACCAAACATTTTGGATACCAATAAAAAAATAGAAAAATAAAAAGGAGGTAATACCTCCTTAACTTATTCTAGGAGGTCAGTATTACTCAGATACCAAAACTTGACAAACACATTACAAGAATAGAAAAACTGCAAATCAATACCACTCATGAACATTGACACAAAAATTCTAAGTAAAACTTAAACAAATCAACTCTCTCAATATGTGAAATAAATAATACATTTGGCTAAGTGGGGTTCATCTCAGGAATGCAAAGTTGGTTTAAAATTCAAAAATCAATTAATTTAATCCACCATGTTAACAAACTAAAAGAGAAAAATCAGTAGATTTTCTGAATAGTATCAAGAAAAGTATTTGACAAAATTCAGATTCTAATCCTAGTTTAACAAAAAAGATAAAAGAAAAAAATCTCTGAGCAAACTAATTATAGAAGAGAACT